GATGGAACTTAAGTCCGCGACATGTGGAAAGACTGCACGGCATGGCCCCTTCAAAAGGGGGAGAGGAGTGCAGTTCCAATTCCTGTTTTCTATCGAGCGTGCCAGGGACACTCCACTTTTGTTGCTTCCATTGAGAGAATGTATGTCCCATATGACCCTGGCCAAGCCAGGAGTCACGGGCCTCTTCTTCATATCACCGACTCGCAGACACTGTTGGAGTCAACAGTCGGAGAAGTCCAGTTCCCAAAAAGAGACTCGGGACTTTGTCTCGAGGCAGATTACGACTTGCTGAGGCTTCTCCCGACCAAGAAGAATCCGGTCATGCGAGAGGCAGATTACCTTCCTTCGTGGCTCAGCCAACGGAGGTATGGTGAGACTGTCCCCGCAAGGGAGTTTGTGGCCATGGGCAATGCTGCGCAACCAGGAGAGCCGCTATCGGACGGAGCATGGCCCGCAGAGGACACAGTCCGTCTGCGGGATCAGCTTCCAAATCAGAGGGATTCCTGGCTTTTAATTCTTGTTTTCAACGGCCGGGTTCACACCCGCTTTTCGCACAGGATTTGCCAGGATGTGACTCTTGTGTCCCGCGAAGTGCCGAAGTTCACCGACATTGACAAAGCCGTCAGCCTTGTTAAAATTGCAGACTCGCAGGATCCTAGAGACAAGCAAATCTCTTGGTCCATAGTTTTTAACCATGAGTGGGCGTCGTACGGACGAGACGCTGTCTCTGATCCCAAACCGCATGCCCCCATTGTCACCCGATGCGCAAGAACTCGTCCAATCGATCCCATGGACGGACGACGGGCGGTTCCTGTGCGCTAGTAATCACTGGGTGAGGACTGGCTTTGGGCATTGTCCCTCCTGCAGCAATCCGATCAATTGCCAATGCAGAGTTACCCGCGATTACATGCTCCAGACATGGAACAGGGAGGTTATTCCGAGGTCTCTCGAGGGACATGGAATTCTGTTGCATGTCAATGATTCCCACGAGCTTCCTAATGATCGCGCTGGCTGGACTGGTGCGCGCGTAAGACGACATAATAGAGCTTCTGCGGATGTTATATACAACATCAACAACAATCTGCAGCAAGAGCGCAAGTGGGCAACCAGGACTCAATATTTACGATTGGCCGCTTCAGGACAAACTTTTGGAAACAGTCGGACAGGCAGTTATCCTGCCTGGGTCCCAGACCGCGCCGCGGCCCAGCCGCCGGCGCGCCACGGTCCTTTCTTCCAGTACTTCGAGCCTCTGAAGAGGAGATTCATTAAGTGGCTCGCACACCTGGCTGGAAGACAGAGGATAAGAGTTCCTCCGATCGCAGACTGGTGGCCATTGCTTTGGGCAGCGGACCTCGATCAGCATGCGCGCCCGATGTCTTGCCCTGCTCTGGCCGCTTTCGAGTGGCCAGAAGCGCCCGACGAACCTCATGAACCAGTGGAAGGTTGGGAAAGATGGGAGCGCACAGTGATCGCTCAGAGAATATTTGTGCCGACGCTGGAGACATTGGAAAACGCGAGGGCTCGGACAGCGCCATGGCTGCCCATTGAACAGGACAATGCAATGGGCACCACAGGGCACAGCCCTCGTGGACGTCCACCAGTTGCGGGCAGATTGTTTTGTGGCACGGCCCCACCGTGTTGCACGGTCCGTTACCAGGCGTGTTAATTTGTGTTCTGACCACCGTCTGGTTTCGGGACTTGTCCAATCTGCCGCCGGTCCAACCGAGGCGGCAGGTGAGGAGAACTTACAAGTGACGCTTGACTTCGCCCCAGTCAGCGTGTCCAAGGCCGAGCTGATAATCGAGGGAACAATTGATCTCGATCAACTTGATGGGTACACATACTCACACAGCGAAGGCAATTCATTGAATATTACATTGGCCCAGCTCGAAGCCAAGGCAGTGGCTGCACAGTACGTGATGGAGTACCACAGTTTCCGCCCGGGTACACCAGATCCCAACAGATTACGACTGTCGGGCGAAATGACGCACGAAATCCCGGATATGGTGCGCAACGTCATTGATGGGAACTGGAAAGTTCCAGTTTCGGAAATGCAATTGGGTCTTCGTATAATGCGCGTGATCGCCATCGTTCGTGAGATCATTAGTAGCTTTATTGTCGAGGGGCATTATATTGCGTGCCCCGGGAATACCGCTCCTGCCCAGGGCGGGAGCTCAGACCGCGCTGAGGATAAGCGACAGAAGGACGGATACGGTCTTGACTGTCGCATTCGTGCTGCGGTTCACACGGACGATCTCATCGAGGAATGGGCCCGTAATTTGGGTAGACAGGTCCGCGCAAACATCCGTCGTCAGGGCGCAAAGCTGCAGGGGGCTATTCATTGGCTCCTAGAGAACTGCGAAGACGAGGATATGGAACTACAAGATAAGGTTGAAGGCCCCTTTCGTGCTGCGTGTGGAAGATTGGGCATCTCTGTTGCCACCGCTGCAAGAGAAATTATTCGATTCATTCGAGATCGAGGGACGACAACTGGTGAGACTGAAGGTGCCGCTGGGCCCCCAGACAGCCAGGCTGATCTGGATGGGGCCGTCGAGACCAGGTGATTTGCCGAAGGCGAGACCAACTCCGCCACCTCCACCACGCAGACCCGACGTCCAAGACGATCGGACTCGCGACGAGGTCACTGAATCTCCGATTCTGCCAGCGGCCCAGCCGCTTCGGCAGGTGAAGAGTACTCGTGGTATTCATCGGCTGACCCGCGGGATTGGTCTAGACCACCCCGCGCGCGCGATGGAGCCATGGATGTCGGCCGCGGCGCTGCTGGCTACGACCCGCAGGTCCACTACCCGCACTTCGCAAATGACGTCCAGGATGGATACTACGTTCATCGTGACCGCATCTGGTGGATGGCCAATAATATCTGGCGGTCACGAGCGCGGCACATACTGTCTTACACGGACTGCAATCGCTACTTCCCGACGAAGGGGAAAGAATCGAAGAACCAGGACAAGCACAACAGAACAGCGTATCACGCTGGCCGTGGCAAGGGATACAGATCCCGCTCGCCCCGTGGGAAAGATGGCGGACAGGGGGGCTCGTCGTCATCGCATCCGAGGCCTCCGACTCCGCCGTCGAGAGAAAGTAATCCATGGGAAAACCTGAGTTAGGCCAAGCCCGCGTGACTTAGTCATAACAGGAATAACCGATCGACAAAGTCGCATCGGCTGTGAGAGCTCTACCGATCGACAAAGTCGAATCGGCGGAGTGATTTTTTAGCTAATGGTGGGAGTCGTCGGGCCTCTTCGGCCCTCAGCCCCCTGGCAGCCACCGTTGAGCTGTAAAACTTTTTGCGGTTGGCTCCGGTGGTTGGACATATGTGCAGGCTGGGGGTGCTGTGGCTGGATGGGCCTACGAGGCCTGCCGCGGGGGAGTAAATATGCTCCTCTCCGCCTCATCATAATCTTGTTGCTCTCACTGCCTGCCTTGCAATGTACTATCTGTACTATGATGCGGCACTGCTCCGCAGCTGTTCAGTGCTCAAGAGAGAGAAGGAGCGCGCCTGCCTTCGTCCGTCGCGCGTCGTTGGTCGTCGGCCGGCCGGCCTCCTCCCTTCCTACTCTTGGGTACTATTGCTTAACGGCATCTTTGTCTTATCATTGATGTCTCTCCTTGAATCCTCTACCACTGAGCAGAGAGGACATGAGACCTTGATTCCTTTGTCATCTTATCCCGACTCTCAAAGGAAAGACTCCTCCATCTCCCCCGCTTCTTCCTCATCCTCCGTGTCTTCGGCAGTAGCACCGCTCGCAGTCTTCAAATCATGGTGTGAGCATCTAGAGCAGCATCATCATAATCGTAAATTGCCGGTCGGGCTCCGAAGGCCATTTTGGCCCCCCCCCTGGATACCTCGGCTGGCGACCCCGTCCTCCGGCTGCGATATGCGGCGCGCATTCGTCGCGGCCTCCCTGCTCGGGGCCGCCACCCTCGGGTCTGCCAAGGACGATGAGAAAAAAATCGACGGCCCCGTCATCGGAATCGACTTGGGGACCACTTATTCTTGCGTGGGCATCTACAAGAACGGCCGCGTCGAGATCATCCCCAATGACCAGGGAAACCGCATCACCCCTTCCTACGTCGCTTTCACGGACGAGGAGCGTCTGATCGGTGAGGCCGCGAAGAACCAAGCGACCATCAACCCATCGCAGACGTTGTTTGACGTGAAGCGTTTGATCGGCCGTCGTTTCAAGGATTCCACGGTGCAGAAAGACATGAAGTTATTGCCGTTCAAAATCGTCGACAAAGGTGGGAAGCCTTTCATCAATGTTAAGGTGAAGGGAGAGGCCAAGGACCTGCAGCCAGAGGAAGTCTCCGCCATGATCCTGACGAAGATGAAGGAGACAGCCGAGAATTATTTGGGCAAGGAGGTCAACCACGCAGTGGTCACCGTGCCAGCGTATTTCAACGATGCGCAGAGGCAGTCCACGAAGGACGCGGGTACCATCTCTGGGATGAACATCCTCCGGATCATCAACGAGCCCACCGCCGCGGCGATCGCGTACGGTTTGGACAAGAAGACCGAGAAGAACATCCTCGTGTACGATCTGGGCGGCGGCACCTTCGACGTCAGCTTGCTCACCATTGACAACGGCGTGTTTGAGGTGGTCGCTACCAGCGGCGACACGCACTTGGGTGGTGAGGACTTCGACCAGCGCGTCATGGCGCATTTCGTCAAGATCTTCCAAAAGAAGCATGGCAAGGACATGTCTAAGAACCAGAAGTCTATTCAGAAGCTCCGCCGAGAAGTCGAGAAGACGAAGCGTGCCCTCAGCTCCACGCAGCAGGCTCGCATCGAGATCGAAGGGCTCTTCGAAGGCGTGGACTTCTCCGAGACGCTTTCGCGCGCTCGTTTCGAGGAGATCAACGCCGACCTGTTCAAGAACACGATTGGCCCCGTCAAGCAGGTCTTGGATGATTCTGGCCTCAAGAAGAACCAGATTGACGAGATTGTGCTCGTCGGCGGTTCCACGCGCATCCCGAAGGTGCAGCAGCTGATCAAGGAGTTCTTCAACGGCAAGGAGCCGAACCGCGGTATCAACCCGGACGAGGCGGTGGCCTATGGAGCCGCTGTGCAGGCTGGCATCTTGAGCGGCGAGGGTGGCCAGGATCTCTTGCTGCTCGATGTCACTCCTCTCACGCTGGGTATCGAAACCGTGGGAGGCGTGATGACCAAGCTGATCGGCCGGAACACCGTAATCCCGACCAAGAAATCGCAGATTTTCTCCACATACCAGGACAGATTGGAAAAGAGAAGGGAGAGGGGAGGAGAAGGAGGAGGAGGAGGAGGAGGAGGAGGAGGAGGAGGAATAGGAGGAGGAGGAAGAGCGGGAGGAGGAACCTGGCCAGAAAGTCGCAGATCTTCTCAGCGTGTTTTCGGAGGGGTATGTTATCGCTGTAGATCTCCATAGGTGGGGGTGCGACATCGACGGTAAGTGTAAGTTTTGCGGGGGTCGTGATACTGTATATCATTGTGCATGGACGTGCCCCGCTTTGAAGCCCACCGAGAAGGGATCGATCCAGAGATTCAAGAAATAGGCAGAACCCTGGGAGATTCGGATCCGCTCTTCACGAACCTCTGGATGCCCCAGCCCAACATCCTGGACAGGCCTGTGGACGATGCGTGTGTCCAGTATTTCACCCCTTACGGTGAATGCGAGCTTTGCGACCTTCCCGAGGGGGGTGGGGGGGCACATCTTTCCTGACGATTCTTGCTTTCACGGGGCGACGGAGGAGGCCGCGAGGGCAGGATGGAGCGCAGTGCAGCTCAACGATCTAGCGGAGCTTCTTAGATGGATCCAGGGACCGATACCGAGGGACTTACCGAAGACCGCGGCGACCGTGGAGCACTTTGGTATGATGGCGGCTAATGGGCACTGCAGACTAAGAACCTCGCCTACGACCCTGAATGCAGAATTCCAGGCCTTAGTAGATGGTGCCGCTGACCCTCTCAGAGCCAAGAGCCACGTGAATACCTATGCTGCTTTCTGGACGCTCACCAAACCATTGCGAGTGGTGATGAATGAGGTCAAGGCTCATTTGGGGGAGTCTGACGCCTCGTCACCATAGGATCTTCCCATGATCAGAGGGAACGCCCATGCCGACGCCAATGCGAAGGAGGCGGCGCTAGGAAACAATGTGTTGGGAAGAGATATCCAGGAATATAGAAAACTCACAAAGCTATTTCAGAGTGTTGCTAAAACAATGCTGGACGATTTCAACCTTTTGCCGCCCACGGAAGAGCTGTACGGAACCTTTGAGCGGGTGCCCCGCCCCCGCCCCCGCTGGCCGCTAGATTGCACCTCGCGGTCTGGGCCCAACTGGCGTGGCATTGTATGTCTTGCCACGTGAGGGGAAGTCAGCTCTTAACGCAAACGGCGTGCCGTAATCTGTCGGGTATCATGCAAGACGTGCTGCGCGTAGCTAGGACGCTTGGCTACGTGCTCGTCCCATGGGCAAATCTGTGAGGGGGACCCGTTCGGTGCAAGAGGCAGCTGGTCGCGCGCTGCCGCGCGATAGTCCCGCACATGTGATTATGGCTCAAGAAAAGGAGCAATATTCATCTCTCCGCCAATCTTATTCTATGAGAGAGCTGAAACATGGTAGCGCGGAGCTGAGGATAGTTTCGTGGACCGAAACCCACTGCGCGACTCTCATAACAGCAGAGCGCAGCCATGGAGGCGCAGCTGCTGGCCCAGCAGCAGCAGATAGCGGACCTGCTGGCGACGGTGCAGCAGCTACAAGCTCAGCAACGACAGCAGCAGCAGCAGGCCCAACCAGCAGCACCAGCAGTGCGCATCGCGCAGCGCTTCGAGGGCGTGCTAGACGCCAATATCATAGGGAAGGTCAAGCAGTTCGACGGGGCCAGAAGCGGCTGGTCAACTTGGGAGTTTCACTGGAGAGCTTACATGGTGGCCAATGACAAGCGCTACAGGGAGTTCTTCGACAAGCTAGATGAGAAGAACCTAGAGCATCTCGACGACGCCAAGAATGCCACCATGACTGTCGACGACGTGGACTGGGAAGACCTCCCGACACAGCTCTACTACATGCTAGTGCTGGCGATGCCAGAAGACCCTGCAGGAGAGACCATCATGCGCAACGTGTTGCACGGTGAAGGTGGTCAAGCATGGGTACGCCTGAAGGCCGAGTCTGCGCCCAACGAGCCTGGCAATGTGGTCGCGCGCATGAGGAAGTTGATGTCCACGCAGTTTCCGACGGGCGCGGGCGTGGCCAACGAGATAGAGAAGCTGGATCTCGAGATCAGCAAGTACGAGAAGGCGGCCGACGAGCAGGTGAGCGACAACATCAAGAAGGGGATCTTGCTCGGCGCGCTGCAGAACGAGAGCGGCTTGCAGAAGCACGTCTTCCGCAACCTTCGCAACTTCGCCACTTACCTCGAGGTGAAGAATGAGGTCCTGAGCGCCCGGAAGGCCCAGCGTAGCTTCGATGGCGACCCGATGGAGATCAATGCGTTGAAAGGGAAGTCGAAGGGAAAAGGAAAGGGCAAGGGCGACAAGGGCAAAGACAAGAGCAAGAACAGGTTCGAGCCGAAGGCGAAGGGCAACCCGAACCACCCGAGGAAGTGGTGCAGTCGCTGCGAGAAGCCGAATCACGTCAAAGACGACTGCCGCAAGTTCAAGCGCGAGACGGAAGCCAAGGCCGAGGCAAAGAAGAAGGCCAAGGGCGAGAAGAAGCAGCGGGGAGCCACGACGGCAGCACTTGCCGCAGCGGGAGCTCAGGGGCCTCGCGGAGCTCATCATCCGCAGGGCCCGAGCACCAACCCGAGTTCGCAGACGTCGACACCCAACACAGTGCACGCGATGACGCAGCTGACGGGACCAGGCTCCTCGGGAGCAACGTCGACGGCGAGCGCGCTACCCACGATGCCGCTAAGGATGCGAGGGGTCAACGGTCTCTTCGCAGATCAGGACACGATCCAGCCGAAGTACATCTTTGCCCTGTCGGTGGAGATGTCGAAGCAGAGGTCGAGGTCCGCGGATCACGCGCGCTCGAGAGGCAGAGATGACGGAGACAGTGTTCGTATCGCGGCCGCGCGTGGAGTCCAAGGGATCATGATCGTTTCTGGAGCTCAGGTCACCGCGTTCCCCTACAAGATGCTGAAGGACAAGGGCTACGAGCTCGCCAGCTCGCGCATCTCCTAGCTGCAGGCCATCGACGGCACGCAGGTACAGCACTGCGGCAGGACGGACGTCCGACTCAAGACGGGTCAGGACGTGATCCAGATCTCGGCCCAGGCCGCCGACGTTGAGTTCCCCGTGATGTCTACCGACGCGATCACCAAGCAAGGCAAGTCGGTCATCCACTCCCCATTGGGCGACTGGATTGTAGACAGCCCGATCTCACCCCCGACGGCAGCGAGCTCGATCAAACTGACGAAGGATCGAGGCACGTGCTACTTGGAGTACGACGAGATGCTGGACAGCGGGGCCACAGGCAAACGCGCGGTGCGCATGGCGGCCATTGCCGAGCCAGACTACTTCGAGGAGGTCGGCGACGAGCAGCTCGGCGAGCAGCTGTGCATCGGCGCGACGCGCAAGACCCTGCCAGCGCAGGTGCCAGACGCAGGGCCGACAGCAGCGACCGACGGCGCTTGGACCAGACCCCAGCGAGAACGTCACCCTGAAGGCGAAGGAACTCCCCAGGCCAGGACAACCCTCGGCGGAGGAGAGGAGAGCTCACGTAGCACATCATCTTCCGTTCACGTCATGGCGCAGCGAGTGCGTCATGGGCCGCGGGAAGGACGCCCCCCACGAGACGAGCTCAGAGCAGAAGAAGGAGGGCGAGTACCCCGTTGTGGAGATGGACTTCTTCTTCGTGGCTACGGACGAGATCGCCGGGAAGTACACTATGATGAATGGCTACGTCGTCAAGGTCGTTGACTTTCGGAAGCTCGAGCAGAAGGGGCGGGGAGAGATGCCCGCGATCCTGAACGTCGCGGACTGCAGGTCCAACGCGTCTGCCGCGCTGTTCGGCTCCAAGCAGATGGGGCGACTACAAGGCGCACTACGTCGCCAAGCTCATCGACAGCTGGGGCCACGCGACTGCGACTCTGCTCACGGATGGCGAGAACGCAATCGTTGCCGTGGCGGAGCAGGTGAAGAAGCTCAGGTCGCACTCCACGGTGGCGCGGTAAGGCCCAGCGTACTCGTCCAATAGCACGGGGCGCATCGAGGCCAGCAATGGAGCAGCTGCGGGACTACTTTTCACGCTGCGGTTTTCCCTCGAGACCAAGCTAGGCTGCAAGCTCGAGCTCACGGACTCCATCCTCGCCTTCCTGGCCAACACGGTCGGCTGGTACATCGCGAGGTTCCAGCCGAGGAGCCACGGATGATCCAGCTACAAGTACCTCTTCGGACGAGATTATGCTGGCGAGGTCGCGGAGGTCGGCGAGCAGGCATGGCGCCGCATCGCGCCCCGCGCTGCAGCGGGCCAGGGCAAGTTCGAGGCGCGCTTCGCCAAGGGCATCTGGGTTGGCAAGTCGGAGTTTGACGACCAGCACCTGGTGGTGGACTTGCAGCGGGGCCTCCTGAAGGTGCGCGCAGTCCGCCGCATGCCCGAGGAGTTTCGCTGGAACGCCGAGCTTATCAAGCAGATCGACGTCGCGCCCTGGGCCCCAGTACCTGAGAGAGTGAGGTCGACTATCAGGAAGTCCACGTATATTACCGAGAACATGCTGAACGCGCATGGCCCGACGGACAACTGCCCCAAGTGTTCCTACGGAAAGGGCCAGCGCAGCGACCAGCGCAGGCAGCGCATCGACGATCGCGCAGGAGAGGCTGGAGGCGAAGCTCTTGGAGGAGACCAAGGGCGGAGTGGCACCCGGAACCCCAGCTCCACAGCAGGGGCCTGTTCAATCTCGAGCAGCCGCAGACGGAGCCACAGGGCAGCTCAGCCGTTGGCACAGGCCAGCACTCCAGCATCGGCCGCAGCTCCCACCTCACCCACGCCTGCGGCCGCATCCGCTACACACGGGATGGACACCTGTAAGTCGGAGCGTCCGCGCCGGAGCTTGTCCAGGAGATCATCGAGCCGAACAAGCGACAGCGGATCGGCACCCTGGTGAAGGCACCCGAGGTGGTGGTCCTCGCAGGCCTCTCGGTCTGTGAGCTGGCAGTCTGCGAGGCGGGCGATGGCCAGGAGGAGGACCCGCCTTGGGACGTGATCCCGAAGGCAGCTGAGCGGTGCGACGGCCTGTGCGAGGGCCATGTGGGGCGCTGCGCTTACCGATGCGATCACGACGGAGAGGGCGCGCGCAGGAGGCGCCTCATCGGAGCTGCCAAGAATCTCAACCCTGACGCGGAGGTCGCGGCTAGCCTGCGCGCGCTGTGGTCGAGACGTCGGACATCTGAACAGTGCGACTGGAGCCAGGAGCCCGAGCCTGCCGCGAATATCCACTACGATTACTACACTGGAGAGCCCCTCGACGAAGTCAAGTACCAGAAGGGCAAGGCAGATGAACTCCAGGCCATGGCCGAGTGCGGCGTGCACCGCAAGATCCGCATCGCCGACTGCGTGCCTGGAGGCAAGCATGTGGGAGGATTTCCTATTGCTCTTGAAAAGGCTGGCGAGGTGCGTTGGTGCTTCGTGGCGACCGAGGTGGCCCATCAGCATCGAGAGGGCAACCGCCAAGGCACCCCGCCGCTGGCGATGATCAGATCGATCCTGAGCTTAGCCGCCGGCAAGCCAGACAAGGACGGGGAGCACAGACGGTGCATCCGCATCTGGGATGTCCGCAAGGCGTTCTTCAACGGCGACCTGCAAGAGAAGATCTACGTTCACCCAGGGAGCGAGCTCTGCGAGCGAGGCTACTGCTGGGAGTTGCTCAAGGCGCTGCACGGGACCCGCCTGGCCACCAGGCGCGGGGCGAGAACGTGAAGGCTACCTCGGACGACGCAGGAGGCAAGGCTTTGAAGGGTGCGCCAGGCATGTTCTACTTTGCCAACCTCTGCGGCGACGGCAACGACGCTACGATGGGGGTGCATGGCGACGACATCATCGCAGAGGGCCACGTCGCGACGTTGGACCAACTAGACGAAGTCTTGAGCACGGAGTACGAGATCACATCATATCCTCCACTCGGTCCTGCACATCCTGGGGCGGCCCGCTACCTCAAGCGCAGCTGCGGCTACGACGAACAACTGCCCGAGACACTACTGCCAGGCTTCTTCTGGCACGCCGACCCGAAGCACGTTTCGGAGATCATCAAGTTCGGTTCCAAGGAGGGCGCGAAGATGTTCGACACGCCTGGCACCAAGGCGATAGGAGCTCAGCTACGCAACGCACTGGACCTGATGCCCACGGCGGAGGGGCGCAAGACGGCTCGTGGTGATCTGCGTAGGACGTACCTCCGCTGGCCCTCCCAGGAACCGGTGATCTGCGTATGACGCACCTCCGTTGGCCCTCCCGGGAGCCGCGATAGTGGCATCAGTTTCGCAGATCGCACCCCCCCAGGGGACGGCGAGGTGTCGTGGTGACCCGAGTAGGACGTACCACCGCTGGCCTTCACAGAAGCCAGCGAAATCAGCAACACTTTCGCATATCGCAGCCACCCATGGGGCGGCGAGGCCTCGGTGATCTGCGTATGACGCACCCCCGTTGGCCCCCCCAGAAGCCCACGAACGTGGCGACAGTGTCGCAGATCGCAACCCGCCCCCCCAGGAACGGCGAGGACTCGTGGTGATCTGCGTAGGACGTACCTTCGTTGGCCCTCCCGGGAAGCCGTTTCAATACCGACGGTTTCGCAGATCGCAGCCCCCAGGGGACGGCGAAGTCTCGTGGTGATCTGCGTGGGACGTACCTCCGCTGGGCTTCCCAGGAGCCCGCGAAAGTGGCGTCAGTTTCGCAGATCGCTGGCCCCCCAGGGGACGGCGAGGTCTCGTTGTGATTTGCGTATGACGAACCTCCGCTGGCCATCCCAGAAGCCCACGAAACTGGCGTCAGTTTCGCAGATCGCAGCCCGCCCGGGGACGGCGAGGTCTCATGGTGATTTGCGCATGACGTACTTCCGCCGGCCCTTCCCAGACGCCCACAAAAGTGACAGCCTTTTTTTTTCTCCAAATAGGCTTGCCCTATAATAGTCCTAGCTCATCATAGGTAGTTGGTATGTAAGACCCCCCTTTTTTTTCCAACGCACCCACCCCTTTTTTCCAATGGCGCCCCCCCTTTTTCCAATGGCGCTTGCTTGCTTGCTCTTGCGTGTTTGCTCTCGCTTGCTTGCTCTTGCTTGCCCTTGCTTGCTTGCACTGGATCGCTGGCGCTTGCTTGCTTGTTATTGCTCGTTTGCGCTTGCTTGCTTCCGCTTGCTTGCTTGCGCTTGATGTTGCTCCTCCCGTTCTCCCCCCGTCCTGCTCCCGTCCTCTTTTCGTCCTTCTCCCGCCCTCCTCCTGTCCTCCTATCTATTTGGCGTCAACGCTGGCTGATATGCAGATCGCAGGCCCCCAAGGGGACGGCGAGGTCTCGTGGTGATCTGTGTATGACGTACCTCCGTTGGTCCTCCCAGGAGCCCACGACAGTGGCGTCAGTTTCGCAGATCGCAGGCCTCCCAGGGGACGGCGAGGTCTCGTGGTGATCTGCGTGGGACGTGCCTACCTCCGCTGGGCTTCCCAGGCGTCCACGCAAGTGGCGCCAGTTTCGCGGATCGTAGGCCCCCAAGGGGACGGCGAGGTCCCGTGGTGATCTGCATATGACGTACCTCCGCTGGCCCTCCCAGAAGCCCACGACAGTGGCGTCAGTTTTGCAGATCGCAAGCCCCCCAGGGGACGGCGAGGTCTCGTGGTGATCTATGTATGACGTTCCGCTGGGCACCCTAGGAGCCCACGAAACTTGCGTCAGGTTCGCAAATCGCAGCCCCCCAAGGGACGGCGAGGTCACGAGGCGGAGCAACAGGAGGAAGGGAAGCAGGAGGAGGAAGAGAAGGAGAGGTGGAGACCACAGTGATTTATTCAAAACGAGAACCCAACCAAGGGAGGGTTGGGAAACAAATGTGCGCGGCGCTAAAACGAGAGCACCATTTTGAAAATGAACCGCCTTCAACCCGTGAAATTATCACAAATATCAAAAACGAATGTGCGCGGTGCTGAGGCGAGAGCAACATTTTGAAGACGACCCGCCTTCCATCAGTGAAGCTGTTGTCATTGTTTGAGCTTCGCGGTCGTAAGTGATGAAAAACTGTCAAGCGAAACGCTTTGTCCACCCCAAAAAATCCTCGGGGTGGGACAGGGAGAAATTATCCATAACGACGTGGAGTGGAGGAAGTGGAGGTGGGAAGGGGGAGGAGGAAGAGGAAAACGAGGAGGAAAAGGAGGAACATGAGGAGGAAGTCCCTGGGGCTCAGGCGTTTGCCTGAGGTGGTGACACCTGATTGCACTTGCGAGCCGTTGCTCCCCCCTTGCTTTCCCGGGCGCCATGGCCTCTGCAGCCAGGCTCCGGCGCGTCATCCAGGAGCTGGCGAGTGGCCGGCAAAACGATATCAAGCTGCGCAGCCAGAGCGACGAGTTCATCATGCGGAACAACCCCATGATCAGTTTATTCCAGAATGTGGACTTGGACATGGACAACGCCATCATTGTGGTCCACAGGCGCAAGATCTCCAAAGGCGAATCCCGCATCTGCTTTATCGTGAGGCCCGTTCCTGTCCGCTTTGACGGTCTTTCTGCTGTTCCGAAGGCCATGCGCCATGCGATGTTGGAAGGCCCACAGCGTTAGACGCACGCCGAGTCCATCGGGTCAGTCCTGGCGCACGAGAAGGGGGAGTCGCCCAGCGAGTAGCCGCCCGTGGAAGGTTGCGCGGCCGCTTCGCGCTCTGTGGCGACGGAGATCGAACACTGTGAGAGGAAGAGTTTATCATTGATGTGGCGAGGCCCCAGAGGCACGGAAATGCCGAAGTTCCTCGGCAGCACGGCGAGAACCATGCCTTCGTTCCAGGCATGGCCGCGCGCCTTGTCGGCCTCAAGGCTCGGCCACTGCTGAACGGATGCAAAGGCGTCATGAGCTTTTACGACGACGCTGCGGGCCGCCGGACCATCAAGAGTGGCGCTGAGGCCGTCTGCGTCAAGGTATCTTGTCTCGAGCCAATTGGCTCCCGCGCGAAGCGGTCTTGTGGCGTCGCGTTCCAGACGACCGCCTTCGAACGCCAACATCGGGGCCCAGCTGCCAACGACCAGGTGTTCCAGCTGTTGTGCGAGCTTGCTGCTCGAGAAGGACAACCCATGGAAGCCGCGTTTTTACTGCTTCAATTCAGCGACGCGGCCGCCTTCGGCGAGATGCATTGCCGCATGGCCGCCAGGAGCCCTGAGATCGTCCGCCAGTGAGTGCCGATCAGCAGCGTTTTTGATGCGCCGAGTGCGTCCGTTCTCATGCCTGCTACGCCATAGCCCGTTCGCCCCACGTCTGTTGGGTTGCGCTTCCCATCAAGGCTGCATGCGCCCCCGCGGTCGTCGGAGTGGCGCCTCCCGTCACGATTTTCGTTGCATGTGCTAGTCGGTATTTCGGGCGGTGGTTTTGTTTCCGGCTCCTGCGGGCGAGTATTGGTTGCGGTCCTTTCTACATGATGTGGACACTTCAGACATCCGTCTGCAGGGCTCTAGGAAAAATCAGGAGGAGGAGGAGGAGGAGGAGGAGGGGGAAGAGAAGGAGGAGGGAGAGGCGGAAGGCGGGGAGTTGAAAGGGGGAAAAAGAGGGAGAGGGAGTGGAGGGCGAGGAGGAGGAGGAGGAGCAGGATGTGGAGGAGGAGGGGGAGGAGGCGGAGGATCCAGGACAACCAGCCGGCAGTGAACATTCAGGTTTTCGAGGGCGAGCGGCCCATGACGAAGGACAATCACCAGTTGGGCAAGTTCGAACTCGGTGGGATACCACCTGCACCGCGTGGTCAGCCGCAGATAGAGGTTACTTTCGAGATCGACTCTAACGGAATTTTGGCGGTCGGCGCCCAGGATAAGGGCACTGGAAAAGAGGAGAAGATTACCATCACCAACGACAAGGGTCGGCTGACGGAGGAGCAGATCGAGAAGATGATCAAGGAGGCGGAACAGTTCGCGGACGAGGACAAGAAGGTCAAGGAGCGCGTGGACGCCAAGAACGCGTTCGACGGTTACATCCACTCGATGAGGTCCGCGACTGAGGGCTCTGGCGAAAACAAGGGTCTGAGTGAGAAGATGGATTCCGAGGAGAAGGAGAAGATCCTTGACGCCCTCAAGGACGGGCAGTCCTGGCTGGACTCCAACCCCGAGGCCGAGCCCGAGGAGATTAAGGAGAAGCACAAGGAGGTCGAGAACATCTGCGCCCCCATCGTCTCGAAGTACTACGGTTCCGGGGGTGGCGGTGGCGGTGGGGGCGACGAGGAGGACGAGGACGAGGCGCACGATGAGCTCTGAGTCCGCCCGGCGGGCAGGCCTGCCTGATGGAAGGTTGGATTCATTGGCTTTCTCTGTCTGGGGCCGGAGGTCGAGGGAAGTTCGTGTCGTGCCGACGCGGCAGTGACCCCGTCGCGGGCGTTCAATGCTGAACGCCAATAGCCAAGAATCGGCCTAGATGTAGCGAACTGGCGATCGAATGGTAGCGTATCGAAGGCTTCAGGTTGCGCACAGACAGCCCCCCATGTAGTCAGTCCCAGCTGGCCTCAACAGGCTTGCAGAGTAGTGTCAGCTGGTTTCAACATGCCACCCGAATAGTCCAGTGCGGTCTCAACACCTCAAAGAGTGCCGCAGGAGGCGGCGCCAGGGTGTTGAGACCACATACTACGGGGGGGCCCGTTGAGGCCAGCTGGGACTACTCGATGGGCCTGATAAGGCCAGCTGGGGACTGACTACCTCGGGGGCTGTCTGTTCGTAACCCGAAGCCTTACCAGCCGAACCATCCACGCGGCGTCAGAAACCAGCGCTTGGGTCGTCACGACACGAACCTGCTGTCCTTATGAGGGAGCGGAGCTTTTGCAGATGCGGGATATCCCGAGTTGGCGCGCCGCGCTCAAGGCATCAGGCATGTTCGAATTTTCCATTTGCAGCAAGGCAGAGAAGGTTTTGTCGCAGCCACTGGTCAGCTCCCGAGGTGCAACCGCTGGAGTTGCGTGCGCATTCTTCGCTCTTGCTCGTCGCGCTGCACGCGTGGCACGGAACTCTTCTTCCATAAGGGGGGGGTGAGGCAGTCGATCCAGGTTCGCTTCTGATCCCCGCCAGGAGTCCCAGTGCATCCACGGCGCACGCCCAGAGTAGCGGGTAGAGACCCACCAGTCGTCTGGCACGTTGGCTGGGGTTGCGTCGCGCATTGGCATGTTCCACCCACATACCTCTGAGAACTGCACGCAGAGCTCAGCTGCCGAAAGCATCAATACCACCGTCGTCATCATCATCCCCGTCGTGGTATCATGCTGATCATCATCACCACCATCACCATCGTCCTTAGTTGCATACCGCGGTCATCGCCAGGAGCCTAACGATCGCAATGGTCCACGTCCGCATCATCCACCTGGTTCTACTTCTCCTCATCACCGTCGCCGTCGTCCTCATCCTTCCTCCTCTTCCTCTTGTCTATGCATACCTCTCTTGCGTATTCGTCGTCCGCTGGATAATGCAATTGCTGTCGAGCTGCCCCCCGACAAGCCACCCCGCCAGTGCAGCAGCGCAAGAGGATGGCGGTTGAGCTTAAGACCTGCTGCAGCTCAGCTCCCTTTAAGCTGGTGCCAGTTTGGACCCCCCCCGCACGTTCCCCAGGCAATGCCGCCAGATCTTCCTTGAGATCCGACGTTGCGAAAAGATGCAGCATCGTGGAAAATGACGACCTGAGTCTCAGACCGCGTCTTTCTGCTGCGCCTTCGAGCCGCAGCGATCTCTGATGGCCCCAGGGCCCGACGCCGTGTCGAGAACGCTCGGCGTGCAAGGACTGCAGCGCCCAGATCTCAGGAGTCCACGCGCTTCCGAGCTGGATCCGCCCATGGTGGCCCCAGGGCCCGAGCAAGGAACTGCAGCGCCTCACCCGGTCAGGAGGGGAAAAACACAGACACAATTCATCGTCGATTTCCCAGAACATTGGTGGAATATATATTTATATATATGTATATATATATATATATGTGAAAATATGGTAAGTGGGGAGGAGTATGAAAACCTAGGAGATATTGGAAGATGGAGGGACTCATGGGATTTTTGTATATTTATCTGTGGCCCCTTTACCCAGGGCTTCCAGAGGGTCCGCCTCGGGGCCCCGCGGGGGCCCGCGCGCCGAGCAGCGCACACGCACACGCACACGCACACGCACACGCACACGCACACGCACACGCACACGCACACACACACACGCACAGACACAGACACACACAGACACACACACACACACAGACACAGACACACACAGACACAGACACACACACACACAAAGAAACACACACACACACACACACGCACGCACGGGTTTTTTGTTCGGCGTCGTGGCCCTGCGCGCAGCCTCTCGGGCGGGACGACGACGACGACGACGACGACGACAACGCCGCCTCTCCCAAAGGTGCCACCACCTCCAAGAGAACATCCTGGAGCAGAGCTGCAGCCCTTCCAGCCAAGGAGGGCCCTATGGCATCTCCAATGCGGGCATCAGGACTACTGCATACGCTGGGGTAGTATGAACAGGGCACATGTGGTCAACCAGAGGCGGGGCGCTCCCATGGAGGCTCCCTGCGCTGTGCGTTGCGGCCCCAGCTGTCGCGCTGATGAGTCGCAGCGATTACGGCCGTTGAGCTCATCTCGCTGCAGCCCCAGGCCTCAGCGCCGCAGCTCCAGCTACTGGGGGCGCGCCAGCAGCCCGCCCAGATACAGGCGGACACGCCGCCGGTGGAATCGCCAAACGACGATCCTCCGCGGGGGAACTCGCCTGACAGCGCACCACATGAGCGGACCGCGACCACGGCCCACGACGACGCGCAGACGGAGACGCCTGCGCCACGGTCAGACGACCCAGCCGATGACCGCTTGTTGGAGAGGCAGGCGCAGCTGACCATGCGGCGCGCCAGGTGCTCGCCAATGTCCAAATGATCTCGGCGATCGAGCCTGCGGCCAATGACGAGCACTACGGGCGGCTTGCTGACTGGGAGCATGGGCGCGCTTCCATGGAAGAGTTGGCGGTCGAACGACGGCGGAGACGCTGCGCCGGCGCGCCAGACATCCGCGCGCGCGCCCTGTGGGCGTCAATTCCACGCCCAGGGGCCGCTCAAATCCACGCTGTCCGATGGTCGACTGTTTATCCTCGTAGATATCGGCCCAGATAGTAACACTATCGGACAGAATGCGGCCAGGTACTTCGATGGGGCATGCCTGAAAGCGCGGCATTCAGACTGCGCGCCGCGATCTGGCGGACACGCCATATGTCATCGGAGTTGGCGCGGGGCCGGTCATATGCAGGACTTTGGGGAAATCCCCCATTGTTTGCGACTATCTCAACGAGAAGCAGATGCACACCTTTGCCGACAATGCCGCAGAAGGCTTTGGCGCTGACATCCCAGCCCTCCTGGGCCTGACCAGCCCTCAGCAGAGACGCGTAATCGCGGTGCTTGAACACGGGAGAGAGAAGATCACTTTCCCGGACGAGGCCCAATGCAATGTTCAGGCGGGCGAAGGTGGATCCTCCGTTTGGAGAAGCATCAGCGGCCATCTGGTCATCCCGCGCGCCCAATACTAGGGCGCTGAGATGACGAAGTGCAGCGGACCCCACATGCCTGGGGGCACTTGTTTCAACATTATGTGTAAGGCAGACAGTAGGGTGGCTGGTGGGTGCAACTCTTTCACGGTGGCTTGAAATTACGCCGATGCGGAATCCGCCGACGGCTCGCGCCCTCAGGGTCGCGAGGGGGACCCAATGAGCAATGCGGAGACGCAGTCTTAAGACGCACGGCCGCGTTGCTACGAAGCGCGCGGAAGAGCACTGGCGGAAGCGGAATTGCAGCAGGCGCAAGTGGAAGTGGAAACGCAAGGTATTAACCAGTTCACGAGGCCTGGCAATCCCGACGCAGCTGCCGGGCTCGCGCTGCGTGATCTGGCGCAGAGGCCTAATGCCCGCGCACAGGATGGAATCCGTGATCGACATCGTTAAGCGCCACCTCGACTGCCACCGCGCTCGCCAGGTCGCGCACATTCCTCGCGCGGCAGACCCGGACCGCATGGAGACGTTGAACCTGATGGAGGACCTTCTCCTGGAGCAGGTCGACCAGGCGGCGGAGCATTGGGCCCCTGTCCCGCATTATGCCATGGGCGAAACCGACTCGACCAGCGGAGACGCTGGCCAGTCGATTGCCAGCATTGGGAGGGGCCCCAACAGCACCTCCAGCACG